CTTACGCATGTGGGCATCGTTAACCGTGAATGCGAACGGTTCCGGTTAAAGTCTTTATCTGAGGACCAGTTCAAAGCCCTTATCCTCATTTGCAGCCTTCAGTCCCAGAAGTTCAGTGACATAAGAACGCGACTACTATGTCGATTGGACCAAGATCCAAAACTCACACTAAATGACATGGCTAATGAATATCAACGCCTAGTAAATCTACAACGAGACACGTCGATGGTTGAGAGTGGTGGGTCTAGTCGATCGGAAGTACGAGTAATCCAAAAGACAACTAACCAGAATCAGTGCGCTCCCGCTGCATTCAGTCCAACTCATTTCAGCCCAATTCGACAGACCAGAACAAATCCCTCCACTCCTTGCTGGCATTGTGGTGCATGGCACTACGTAAGGAATTGCCCATTTAAGCAACATCGATGCAGGAAGTGCAAGGTTGTTGGCCACAAGGACGGGTTTTGCCTTAAGAGCACACCAAATCGATCCAGTAATACCAAAAAGACGGTTCCAAAGCCCTGTACCTCTTCTTTGAGCTTGGTATCTTCTTGTCAGAGTTCATCACCAGGTGAGAGGAAATTCGTTAACATTAATATTAATGGACATTTTTTTAGATTGCAAATAGATACCGCATCAGACGTCACCATCCTCTCTCACAAAAATTGGATCAAAATGGGTCGCCCAAGCCTGCAGCGAACAACTAAAAAGCCTCGTACCGCATGTGGTAATTTCCTACACTTAGAAGGACAATTGGAATGTAGAGTGACCTTTCGGGAGTCGTCATTTACCGGGGTATGTCATATAACTCCAGCTGATCTAAATTTACTTGGTTTAGATTGGTTCGATCAACTGAAATTGGCTGATGTCCCACTAAATACCATATGCCACATGATATCACAACCTCATGGCACTGAATCGTATACCAGGAAGCTAATGGCGCAGTTTTCATCGATTTTCCAGCCTGGTTTGGGACAGTGTTCTACCTTAAAAGCAACGCTTCGTTTGAAACCTGGAGCTAAGCCTGTCTTTCGTCCCAAAAGACCCGTGCCTTATGCGACGTTACCAACAGTAGATGAAGAATTAAACCGCCTCCAACAACAAGGAGTAATTACTCCCGTTTCTTACTCCGCCTGGGCAGCACCGATAGTGGTCATCAAGAAAGCAAACGGCACCTTACGAATATGTGCTGATTTTTCTACAGGTCTAAATGCAGCCCTTGAACAACACCACTATCCCTTACCAGTTCCGGCAGATTTGTTTACGATGCTGAATGGGGGAAAATTCTTCGCAAAACTGGATCTTGCTGATGCTTATTTGCAAGTTGAAGTAGACGAAGCATCTAGGGAGCTACTTACTATCAACACTCACCGTGGGTTATTTCAGTACAACCGTTTACCATTCGGTGTCAAGACTGCACCATCTATTTTCCAACAATTAATGGATACTATCTTATCGGGCATCCCGGGAGTCGCGGCTTACCTTGACGACATTCTAATTGTTGCCGCAACGTTAGAACAGCTACATGAGCGAACGACATCGGTACTGAAACGCATTAGTGAAAACGGGTTCCGGTTACGACCTGAGAAATGCCAGTTTTTATTACGGTCCGTAAAGTATTTGGGGTTTATTTTTGATGCTGACGGCCGCAGACCGGATCCTGAAAATGTCCAAGCGATACGACAGATGCCCACACCCACGAATATCTCCGCACTGCGTTCCTTCATGGGACTGGTCTCTTACTATGCCGCGTTCGTCCCTTCAATGCATGACATTCGTGCCCCACTGAATGGCCTACTGAGCAAGAACAGTACGTGGAACTGGACTAAAGAGTGTGACGCAGCATTCTGTAAACTGAAATCCATCATCAGCTCGAAATTGTTATTAACGCACTACGATCCATGCATGCCAATCATTGTAGCTGCAGATGCCTCAGCGTATGGCGTAGGAGCCGTCATTTCTCATCAGTTTCCAGACGCAACAGAGAAGGCTGTCATGCACGCATCCCGAACACTGACCCCGGCAGAAAGGAAGTATAGTCAGATAGAGAAGGAGGCTCTCGCCCTGGTGTTTGCGGTGCGGCGGTTCCACAAATTTTTGTACGGTCGGAGGTTCACACTCCTTACGGATCACAAGCCCCTTCTCGCAATTTTTGGTTCGAAATCTGGCGTCCCGGCCCACTCTGCAAACCGTCTACAACGATGGGCTTTGATCCTCTTGGGGTATGATTTTGACATTCAGTATCGACGCACCAAACAATTTGGTCAAGCAGACGCATTGTCACGACTCATCAACGAACACTCTACGACCGATGAAGATGCCGTTATCGCTTCTTTTTCGACAGAAGACCACGCGCAATGCTACCTGACAACCGCTGTTCGTGCTTTGCCAGTCTTAGAATCTGAGATACAAATTGCTTCCAGAAACGACCCCGTCATTAAGAAAACGATGAACTACGTCACCAATGGCTGGCCATCAACTGAGCTTGACGGTGACATGAAGCAGCTTTACCATCGTCGTGACTCATTATGTGTCGTAAATGAATGCTTGATGTTTGGAGATAGAGTGGTCGTGCCAGAATCCCTACGACCGAGGGTGCTGAAGCAATTCCACATTGGTCATCCAGGCATAAAGCGTATGAAATCCATCGCCAGAAGCTATGCTTACTGGCCCCTCATGGACCAGCATATCGTGGATCTAGTAAACAAATGTGCTCAGTGTCAACAAGCTGCAAAGTCCAATGCGAAGGTACCGCCGGTCCCATGGCCACAGCCTGAGCATCCCTGGTCTAGGATACATATCGACTTTGCCGGTCCAGTCAACGGAACCACATATCTTATCGTGGTCGACGCCTTCTCAAAATGGCCGGAGATTGTTCCCGTCACTCCACCAACGACCACCCAGACTCTGAAACATTTGACTGAGTTGTTCGCACGAAACGGATTACCGGAAGTGATTGTATCCGACAACGGTTCGCAGTTCGCCTCGGCGCAGTTCCAAGAGTTCTGCAAACGCCTAACCATCAGGCATCTTCGCGCCCCACCTTACCACCCACAATCGAATGGGCAAGCGGAAAGGTTCGTGGATACGTTCAAGAGGGCTCTGATTAAGTCAAAAGGGGAGGGGACGCCAGTGGAAACACTGCAGAATTTTTTATTTGCCTACAGAACGACCCCCAACGACACGCTGCCGGAGCAGAAGTCCCCCGCAGAGATCCTCATGGGAAGACGGCTGAGGACCATTCACAACTTGATGCTGCCGAAATCCACACCACCACTAATACAAACCACGTCCCGGAAGCTACCCACGTACAACGTTGGATGCCCAGTATTCGCTCGGGACTACAGAGCAAATCGTGATCCTTGGATCGAAGCACGTGTGGTTAGACGGATGGGAGAAGTTATGTATGAGGTTGAGGTAGGAACGGACAGATGGACCAGACATCGAAATCAACTACGCAAGCGGTCAACACCAGAGCGCCCATCGACCGAAGTAAAGTTTCCGCTGGACGTACTATTGGATACATTTAATCTGCCGGCAGTCCCAACGCATGAAGAAGATCAAAAGGTCGATCTACGGTCCCGAAGATGGTCACTGCGCCAACGGCGACAGACAGTTAGAATGCAGGTGGACCCAAAGAATGTCCGTTACTAAAAAGGGGAGGTGTTGGGGATGTCAAATCCCCAGAACTTACTTGGTAAATGGCCTAATCTTGTAGTTTTATTTTGAAAATTTGAATTTAGCTGTTTTCGCGCCAAAAGCGCTCTTTTACCTTCACGTCATATTTCCCACCTGTAAACTATCTTAACCGCTATTGGTCCTTTGTTTCTTTATGTGTGCTATTTACTAATGGTGCTCAAGGACAATTTGTTACTGTATAAATGCGCTTGACTTTTTCCCTTATTTGATTGCTTGTACTCGGCTGCTTACGGAATACATATATATTCCCCTACTTGCCTTGGACTTCTTCATCTAGTTAGCGGGGCCTGGGACAACAGATTAGAATAGCTTATCGTGTCATTGTGTCATTTGGTTTTCGTTCGTTACCGCGGAATCGATTTAGTTTCAGGCATAACAACTTTGTAAAGTACTTTTACAAAACTGGCAGGACTTTGAACTTACATTCACTGTGTGTAGTGAGCAGTTAGTTGAAAAGTGTGTGTATCTGTGTATATGCTGGTGGTGGCGTAAGTGATGACATCAATTCGCACATAGTGAAATGTAGACCGAATTATACCAATCTGGGCCAACCTTGGCACCTTCGTAATGTTAGTCAGGCTGTAAATGGTCGGATCTAAAACGCGTTGGTGAGAGCGGTTTTGCTATATGCTTGTGAAACCTGGCCTCTTCCAGTTGAGGATGTTGGACGACTCACTGTGTTTGATCATCGTTGTCTCCGAAGGACTGCTACACCAATATTAATGATGCAGAGGTCCGCTATTGTGTGTTCTGACACAGGTGTAATAATTCAAATGATGTCATTATCTTAAAACATCGACTCTGGTGGCTTGGACATATTTTACGAATGTCATCTCAGAGAATTCCAAGAGACCGAAGGTTCTAGGTTCGAGTTCCACATGCTGGAACATGGATGTGCACTTCTGAGGCGTCCCATACTGGGACGAAACGGAAATCCAGTGCTTTAAATTTTTCAATGATGGTCTAGCTTAGAGCCACTTACGAACTCAACCATAAAAGTTGTCTAGTTTTTTTTACTTATCAACTAGACGTATTTTACAATTACTACCAGTAATTTGTTTCAAAGAAGACAAATAAAAATAGAAAAGAACACTGTAAGCAAAGATAGATAGTGGCTAGCACTGGAATCCAGGACATGCGTTTCATCCTATTTGGGACTCGTCGGTTGGATGCACCTGCATCCCAGAGTTGATGTTCACTCTGGGACTCGAACCCAGTACCTTTCACTTCAAACGCCATCGTGTTATTCACTCAGCTACTGAATCCTGATAGCCACTTGCTTGTGCAAGTTGCAGTTCTAAACATCAATGGGAAGATTCAAACAAGTACAAGAACACTGTTTTACATCTCTTGATGTTGTAATAAACATACTGACATCTATACAAATAATGATCATATTTTGAAAGACTATATATATGGTGAAAAAGAAAATCATCAAATTATTTTTCAATAATCTTAAATGAGTATAAATCTAGTGAGAGAAAAAAAGATACAGTAATTCAGTTTGGGCACCCGGGGAGTATCATAGTACACACACACACACATCAAGTGACTTGTATAGCGTATATGTATCCGGTGCCCTCCCTCCCCCTTGTAACAATATATACATATTAGATCAAGTTGTCAGATTACATCAGCATAATTACATAAGAGATTGAAAATAATAAATACAAACATTAGGAATAAGATATGAAAACATGAAGTAAGAAATGTATACACCATTAAATGCTGGAATTCAAGGTCATAAACAAAATCAAACATGATAAACATTTATCTACGTTATCATAACGGATTCTTAATCTTTTCAACTTGATGCCTATAACTGTTGATAATAATGTTACCATGAGAATAATTTCAAATACATAGTAGTAGTGTAGTGTGGTCTACTTATATCCATATAAGTAGTATATGGTGATGGTCAGACATAGAATGTATTTCGGCAGAAGATTGGTAAGGAAAGAACAGGAATGAAGCGCAATTGGTAGGAAAATGCATGAACAGTGGAATTAGCGAAGATGAACTGATATTTACAGAAGAAACAGTGAAGATGGAGACAATTGATTGATAGTTTGCCAATTAACTGTTTGCTGTATGGTTGTCAGTTTGCAATGAGATAGTCTGTGATTTGTGCTTAATTACATTTGATTGTCCCCACCAGTGTTCCTGTTCACTAAAGTAGTAGTAGTGTTAGTAGTATATACTGTATAAATATTTATAGAAAACAAACGATAATTGATTTTCTTATGGTTCGAATACGTGAATCGATTTGCCAATGACGTGAGTATAGATAGTATCTTATGAAATAGAATAGAAGAGAAAAAAGATGAAGAATAAAACGATATATTTCTATACAAATGATATGGTGAACAAATAGTGGTGAGAGTATAATTTGTGGACGACCTTTGAGCGACCACAGATACATTAGAAATATTGCTTACATCTACTGGGAAAACCGGGTAAGTATTAGTGAGAGTAGACACAGAGTGTTAGGGAATGATGATGGTAAATCAGGTGATGAGGTCATTATTCTTCATCGACTGAGATGGTTAGGCCACGTGTTATGTATGCCTGAACACTGGTTACCACAACGCGCTGTGCTGACTAGTATTGATGATGGTTTGAAGAAGGTTAGTGGCGGCCAAACCAAAACTTGGCATCATTACTTGAAGTCACAAACTTGTAGTCTCATTCATGTTGGTAGATGCAAACTACTTGGTTGGGGTCCGTATGACTATCGTAACCAATGGTTGGAGACTCTATGTGACATGGCTCAGAATCGATCACAATGGCGTAGGTGTATACAATCTTTATCTTCCCTTAAACCTTGAGATTAAAATTGCTTCCTATCTATCTCTCTTCCTATACTATATCCTTATATAAAACCTATCTTTTATATATTACCACCACTAAATTAACTACTTCCTTGAATTTGGTGTTCATCTTTTTGTGCTAATGAGGTATGGTAACTTGGACCGATGCATATATGTGCCTAGTCCTACGTTGTAGCTGACTGACTGACTGAACATCAGTTGTAATGCCGAAATGGTATTTAACTAAATGAGTGGATGAATCATACGCCAAAATCTCCAAGATCTGTTATCTTAAATCTGAATTAGATCGTTCAAACAGTTAATTAATTAGAAATATGAAAGAACCTAAGATAGTGTCCATTCTTTTTTTCTTCTTTCTCAATCATCTATAACATTTAATCATAGTTTAAGAAACTGCACACTGCTGAGGAGTCTCGCAATGGGACGAAACGGCCGTTCAGTGCTTTCAGTATTTTCATGGAGGTCTAGCTACAATTGAATCATGATCTCAATTATATAAAATAACATAGATTTATTCATGTCCTTTTTCAAGTTAATTCAATACAGAAATTAATCATCTTCTTTCTGTTTTTGTTTGTCAACTTATCAGGTCATAAGTTGTTCAGATCGTTCAATCAAAATAGAACTAAAAGTTGAACTGAGTAATCTATCGCGTTAAGATCTTAAACTAGATAGAGACAATATTCTCATATACATATTTTAGTTCGTAGACCGATCACAGATGTAATAGAGTTTTTATCATTTACCTTTATGTTCTTCCTTGTGTCAACCTATTCACAGGACCCTAGTACCACATCAATTAAGCATTGTCAGGAAAAATAATACATTTGTAATATCCCAATGAGTAGAAAAATTAAGTTTTCAAATTTTCTGACGTTTCGTAACTCAGTGTAAGTTACTTCTTCAGAGAATAAATTAGATTATAGCTAATCTGAACTAAAAACTTTCTTCACTATTTCAATAAGCATTTTGAAAAAACAAAAAGCAAATTCAGAGGGTGTTGAGGAGATCCAGAAAATTTCATGAAAGAAGCCAACAAAAGCCCTGAAAACTCTGAGAATCATCTTATCCCATAAGCATTTAATAGAAGTTTTACCAGAAATATCTAGAAACTGAAGTCACATGACGCGTTTCTGATTGAATGATTATTTCTACTTCTACTATGTTTAGTAGAGTTCCAGAAATTTCCGAAGACTCAAGGCCATTTAATATACTATAAATACCTTAGATTTTCTGTGTATAAACGAACCTTTGTAGTAAAGCATTTCTTCCATATTTCGTATCTTTTCTATCGTGTTCAAAATGCTGTGTAGATTTAGCCTGGAGGTTATTAGAGAGCTTAGGAAACTGAATCTAGCGTTCAACTAGAAGACTTATCAGAAGGATCAACAGAAAAAATACAAAATGTTCCTTATATCAAAACATACGTTTCAGCCTAATTGAGATTCATAGACTGGATGTATCTGCTACAATCCAATGCTAATGTTTACTTTAGGACATGAAACTAATGACTTCCACTTAACTACTGAATTCAGGTAATCACTGAATTGTACAATGATAGATGTATTGTAATGATTATTTTATTATGATTTCATATTTAATAACAATTATCCAGTTAATAATACTCTGTAATTCCTAATCAATTGTGTAAACTTGGATAAAAATTCAATCTTTTTCTATTTTATACAAGAAAACCAATTTTACAGAGATTAAATGTGAATAGAGCTATGGTAAAAATGATATCATTATTGTCTTTAGATCTATCACCCACCCACCCCCACATCCCTTAGCCATAACAACTATAATAATTACTGTTACGACCTTTAACAACTAGTCATTGTCTATATATTTATTTGGATTGTCTCTTTTTTTGACCTAATTTCTTAATCTTAGAATTTTTTTGATTGATTAATAAATTGAATTGATTTGGTTGTGTTTTTTTATTGATTACTGATTGTATAAATTGACAAAATTATAAAAAAAAATTATCAGAAGGGGTTTTGTGGAGATTTTAGTAATTTCATAGAGTTGAGATCATGAGTCAATTGAACCTAGACAAACAAGGGAAACCTGAAATCACTGGATGACCGTTTCGTTCTATTGTGGGACTCCTCAGCAGTTCGCATACACGATCCCGTACTCGAGAGATTCGAACCAAGGACCTACCAGTCTCGCACCAGAGCACTCAACTGATAGACTAATGAGCCGGCATTCGATGGTGTTAATGTCTAATTTCAACCAATCCACGAAGTTGAGCAACCATTCACTAATGTCATCAGTGAGTTGATGTCACCCAACAGACCTGGTTGAACTCTATAATAAGACGACACGGCCGTCCAGTGCTTCCAGGTTTTCCTTGGTTATTCTAGCTTCAATTGACTCATGATCTCGACTCTATAAAATTATAAAAAATCATCTGATCTTTTTATTATCTTTATTCGAAGTTTCAACATTCTGTCACATTTGAAAATGTGTTCATAATCCTCCACGTGTATTGATATATATATATAACCGGTATTCATGTAGACAAAGATGAAGAGTGGATCCCCAATATTAGATATCTAGTGTTTCTCCTAGTCGGGGCAGTTTATTTTGTAGAAGATGTGTTGACGTTTTTTTTGTTTCTGCTATTACATTTTTCGGTTTAGGTACGATTGGTTGAAGTGAATTTCGCTGGTTTATACGCTATACATATTTCAAACGTCCCCAGAACTCCGACATAAAATTTATCGAGAGAATTTTCAAGAATATTAAATCTCTCATACAATTCTGAGATAAGAATAAGGAGATTTAAACTAAAAATGAAATGATGATATCCTTCGACATTACAGCCCAATCAACCTTGATCGATCAAAAATTAGCAAAAGGATACTTTATCATTGATCCACATCCGAGACACAAATCATACAAGGTACATGAAGCTTTAAAGTCGAAGTCTATTAGAACTTATCGAATTATGATTAAGAACATATTTTCAGTTCATCAATAAAATCTACGAACCGATGAAAGAATAGCTAATGGGATCACTAACATAAGAAGTTATTTCAAAAGCAGTGATGCGGAGATTAGAAGCCTCGATTTTACCGATTATCAAGCCAAAATGTGAATAATACATTCATCATCATCATCATTACCAGGAAAGATAAGTCAGGGATTACCTACCTGATACGTCTCGTCGATTGAACGCTATATTCGTTTCCTAAGCTATTCTGGTAACCCACAGGCTAGAACTACTCAGCGACTTGAACACCAGAGAGAAGACGCAAGTATGAGAGAAACACTTTACTCCTGGGTTCGTTTTGTACAGAAAATCATGGGTATTTATAGATGTTAGCGTCTGTTAAATCAACATGATATTTCAGCCAATCCATTAACGACATATTATGCTACCGACCAATAGTAACACGCCACGTTAGAATTCTAGAATGTTCCATCATACTCTGATTGGTTAGGGCTCTCCGGCTCCTTTTTGGACCTCTGGGGGCTCCGTTGAAGTTCTCCGGAAGCAGACTCAACACTACCCAAATAAAATACTTTAATATCATAATATTAGGTTTAAAAAATGATTAAAAGCTGAAGAGAAGAGCCATTAGGTTGTATTGATATTCTAATCTGTAATCTATCGGCCGTAACTTTAACCAACAGTGTATAACTCCATTTAAGGCATTACGACCCAGCTACTCTTATTGTTTAGTAATTTCGGACATTACTTTATTTGACAAGTTCATAAATTAGAACATGGATGAACAGACACGTAATCATATTCCCAATAAACAAGGTTAAATGAAAGTAGAAATTACAATGAGAAAAACGTTATTATATTAATAATTTTTACACAAGAATATCATAAAGTCATATACAGGTATCTACTAGCGCTGATAGGCTAAGAAATGATCAGTCAGAGCTCCCCAACCCAATCTTGTTGGAACATGATTTAATACAATCTGTATCCCGCTAACAGTATGCTACAAGATACATGAGTGAAACCGTGTGTTACCGGTGTGCATGTAACGTATATTTGCTCAAAGGTGAGTATATCCGGTGCATACCAAGCGATAGGTGAGGGAAAGCTTATATGTTACAGGTATACGTGTAAACTTTACTTCCCAACAGTAAATATGCCTTCTGACAATAACTTGCCCTGTGTTGCGATATCCGCGCGCTAAGACCAAGGGGTTACAATGATTTTCTCACGTAATCACGTCCACACGGTCGGTACGTGAGTCTCTGAAAGAGGATTTTAATCCAAATAAACCTATGGACTTTACCAAGTGGAGATTCACCAACTTCAAACGGCTGGATTCTCGGATCACAATATATGCATACAGTTATTAGACTTGTAGAAAAAAACCTGATGGTGATTAAAATCTGAAGACTGCATATATAATTCTACACACTCCATAATTGGCTGATCACTATGATGTGTGTCAAGTCCCTATAAGTATTGGTCGAGCTCTGTCAGTCAAGTAGAAATGTTGTGATGTGGGCTACTTGTGTCGATATAAGTAGTATATATCGTGAGTCAGGAATAGAACGTCTGGCAGCAGAATATTGAAAAGGAAAGAACAGGAACAAAAAGCAATTGCTCTGAAATTACATGAACAATTAAATCTGAGACGATTGACTGGTATTTGCAAAAGAAACAGTCAAGTTTGGGACAATTGATTGACAACTTGTTAATCAAGTATTTACTGTATGGTTCTCAGATTTTAATAGGAACTTCTATAATTTTGTATTCAAATACCATCGATTGTCTCCACATGTGTTGTCGACCACTACAATGTGGCTAATAGTCTAAGTGACTCGACATGGCATGCACTATGTTAAGATATAAAGCAGTGGTGTTTAGAGATAGTCTACAAAACGTCATAATCGACAAATTTCTTCGTTTTAGTTTGTGCTCTTCAGCAAGGTGTACCGGTAATCTTGATAAAACTCACACACCATGGATTTGAACTTGTGTGACCAAGCTTCAAAGTCAGAGATCTTACCATAAAGACATTCAAGCGGCGCGACTGACCTGTAGCCTAGTAGTGACGGTTTTGAATGTATCTCTGAGAAACATGGTATGCAATCCAGCAGGGAATATTAGTTTCTTCAACATTACAGGCACATCTTGTTGATGAGTGCCAAAAAACAGGTCCAGGGTTTCCTGTCTACTACCTCCGATCATCACCTTATAATACAGTAAAATTACTGCTGTATGTAATTTACATTTAATCATAAAAAAAACTGGTAGAAAAAATCAATTGATAGAATAAATGGAGATTTAGATGATCAGTTCAATATAGGGAAAAGAATACTGACTACAGAAGCACTGACGACAGCCTGCCAATAGTGTGAGAGTAAAACAATTGAGCATTCAAAGTTTGTTTACTTATGAGTAATATATAACCGTATATTAAAAACGCTGCAGCATTCCAATGACCACAAGTTTTCGAATTAGTTTCTTTCATAGATATTCTCGTGAGTTGAAATGAACTCCAGATAGATTCACCCATTAAAGAAGTGGAATTCGAATGAAATAACCCAACCAACAAATTTAAGTTCAAATTTTTTACGATTCTTTATTGTCGGCGTTGTTAGGAGTTTCCAGTGATTAGCGAATTTTATAGTTCACTATATTTGGAAAACTGTTTGAGATCAGAAAGCACTGGAAAGGTGTCAGATCCCTCAACAAAGCTCATTCATAACCTCAACACAGCAGATGCATCCAGTACAATTAGGCTTCAACAATGTCCACAAAATTACATACTAAAAATATTTATGTGCTCACTGGCGACTAATACCAAGAAACAAATTTCCGAGTTCTATTGATAAGCCATGACCAGTGAAGTTCAATTATGTCGAGTTTTATCCAGTTACCCATTGATGACATTAGAAGATCGTTACAAAATAAAACCTATGCTACTGATGTTAGATATGTAAATACATGAATATCAGTTTAGCAGTTAACCGATTGCTTAGAGACCTGAAGATTCTGGTCTAGTGTGGTAGAGTCGTAGATTTGCATTACTGAAGAGTTGCATACCAGAACAAAACAGATGACTAATAACTTTTGGTTTTCAGTGTTAGTGTAGCTAAGATCCGACCTTGAAATAGATTGTAAGGTTGTTTATTGATTACCTGTTTCTAATCAGAGGACACTTGCGCCCTAATGCATTATCAATCAGAATTTTGGCACTTTCGAAAACTTTAAACAACCTAGTCACCTTTATAGTAGTAATATCTTGTCGCTTATAAACCAGGGTCAAAACTAAAGACAATTATGAGGGTAATAATAAAAAAAAATTAAGATCGATTGATGAATGAAATAAACAAAAATACTGAATAAAACCATAATGAAAAACAGAAGGGGTTTTGTGGAGAATTTAGTATTTTCATAGTTGAAATCATGAGTCAATTGAAGCTAGACCACCATGGAAAACCTGGAAGCACTTGACGGCCGTTTCGTCCTATTATGGGACTCCTAACTGGTCTATCGGTTAAGTGCTCTGGCGCGGGACTAATAGGTCCTAGATTCGAATCTCATGAGTGTGGGATTGTGGATGCGCACTGCTGAGGAGTCCCATAAAAGGACGAAACGGCCGTCCTGTGCTTTCAGGTTTTCTATGGTGGTCTAGCTTTAATTGACTCATGATTTTAACTATCATAATAAAAATGTAAAGAAAACTTACCATAGTTGCTAACCGACTTATCAAATATTTCCATGAATATAAAAAAAACATATTTCCATGGTATCGTTTCAATGTTGATACGTGTTTTTATCAGAATCCATTTCAACAAATATCTAGAAATGTAAAGTAATCAGTGAAAAAAATGTTCAATTTTTATTGATAAAATAGAAAAATAAAACGAAGAGAATATACGAATAAAGAATCGAATGAAATTAGTTGATTATTATTTATTTATACACATAAATATTAGTATGAAGGAGCACCAGATACATGTGCGCCATACAAATCTCATTTGATTTGTGTGAGGGATGGGATACTGCCCAGGTGCCCAAACCGAAACAGTGGTTTACTTAGGGGGCCACACCCGGAGCCTTTGACCGAAACATCTGATCCACAAGGCAGTGGAGCATTGTGAGGAGATGTAGTCTCATAATAGCTGGTGACCAACGATTGATTCATACTCTATTTGTTCCTTCAGGATACTGGAGCCCATGTGCACCATTGGTTTGGAATGAGGGTTTTTCAACTACCCTAGGTGGATTTTCCGTGACAGGTTAAAATATAATGAATTTTCTTAAGCTTTTTCTGTATGAGAGTACTTTGAAAAAAGAGGAAAATTTGAATTGTGTGATCCCCGTAGAGAGAACACTTGAAAATTCAAGGTCAATCGAAAACAGCTCTAAAACAAACAACATATGTCAAACGACATAACATGCCTGTCAAGAATATAAAAAACATGGATATTACTGTTCTATCTTCCAACTGCTAACCAATATCACGTGACAGAGCCACCAATCAGGAATCCGATTTCTTCAAGTTAAAGTCTATGAATTAACCGGTAACATATCCAACCAGTACTAGTAACTTTCAGTCATATGCTAAGACCCTATTAGTCCCCAATACGTAAGCTTCTCATTCTACCCAGTTTTTTTGTGTTGAGAACGTAGTTGTCGACCTACAGAAAAATATGTTATATTCCAAACATAAATGGCTTATATATAGATATATCCGACCATATCACACCATAAAATGAAAAAAAGTGAATATGAGTAAGGGAAATTATGAAATAATAAAAAAACTGGTTATAGATTAAGTGCAGTTCATCATTCAACAGTAGTTAATGGGTCAGTCAAAAGCTTGTGAACAAAGGACTGTATATATATAATCTAGTTATGTAATAACCATTCCCTTTTAAACTTTGTTCAGATGTAATAATTTCCATGGTGATCAAGCTTCAATTGACTGATGATCACAACCATATAAAATTACTAAAATCTCCACAAAACCCCCCTTTTGATAAAAATACAATAACTCAAACAAAGCAAGAATAACAAAAACGCTATTCTATGGAATGATATTCTGGATTGTCTATCATTTATTATTTATGTAATTGCCTTTCTCGTAGTTCAGTTAAATTATTAAAAGCTACCATGAGACTTCATCTCCTCACGATGCTCCGCTGCCTTATGGATCAGATCTTTAGATCAAAGGCTCCAAGTGTGGCCTCTTAAGAAAACCACCTGCTTCAGTTTGGGCACCCGAGCAGTATCACAGCTATCACACAAATCAAATGAGATTTGTATGGCGCACATGTATCTGGTTCCGCTTTGTACCAATATTTATATGTTCAAATAAATAAATTAATAATTAAAAGCTTGAATAATCTGTGTTGTCAAATTTTTTCAATGTTTATTTCGATCAGAAACTTATCTCTATGGTAATAGTCAAATTTAATGCCTATATGAATTCAGTATAACTCCGCCTGTAACTCTTGTAAAGTTACTGCCGGTCCCAAGTCCGGGTAAAAGGAGGAGGGTTGGGCATGGGGTTAACGATCCCATCTCGTAGAAAACTAACCGGCTAAATAAAAACGCCAACTAGAAAAAATAATTCAAACCATTTAAAATGTTGCGTAGATGAGCATGAATCCAGTATGATCGAAAAATAGTGTAACACTAATGAATTATGTATTCTATTTAATTTTGAATATATTTTGTCAATTAACCACTAAAATGTAACATACAAATGAAATACTGAATAAGAATAGTGTTCCGGATAAGTATATTTCAAACATCCATTAAACCAGATAGACCATGAAAGGTGCGATTTAAGAGAAGATTTCCTAGACTACTCCAAATGTTATAATTTAAAAGAGTATATATAACTAGAAATAGGTCATTAATATGGGACGGTAACGTGGAGAACTACGAAAGCCATCATCCAGAAAATACAAGTGTTTATTAACAGTTGTCTACGCAAGATACTTCGGATCCGTTGGCCAGACACTATCAGCAACAAGTTAATGTGGGAGACAACAAACCAGATTCCAGCGGAGGAAGAAATCAGGAAGAAGCGATGGAAGTGGATTGGGCACACTTTGAGGAAATCACCCGATTGCGTCACAAGACAAACCCTCACATGGGATCCTCAGTGCCGAAGGAGAAGAGGAAGACCAAAGAACACATTACGCCAAGAAATGGAGACAGACATGAGAAGAATGAACAAAAATGGATAGAACTAGAAACGAAAGCCCAGGACAAAGTGGGTTGGAGAGTGCTGGTTGGCGGCCTATGCTCCATTGGGAGTAACAGGCGTAAGTAAGTAAGTAAGGTAATGAATAGTGCCGATAAAGATACAGGGATTCGATAAGATGATAAGTATACAAATACTGATCACAACTGACATAGAAGATATGCTTACGATAAACATCTAAGGACAAATGTGACTTAACTGGAAAACTAGAAATATTAAAACAATTTATCCATTTAAAAGTTAAACAAAATCACGTAACGGTTATAATAGAGAAGTAGCTAAAGAAAACCTTGGCCTAATTTTGAGACTTAATCTATTTCTATCAATTAAGGAAATCAATGTAGTCATAAAGTTAGATGACAAAAGAAAAGTGTTGAATGACAGTAAAATAAAGCTAAGATATCTGAAGTATACATGAAAAAGGTTATTCACATTCCATTTCAAGTGAGTAGTGATATATTTTAAAAGGTTCATCAGCACTATGATTATTCATAATTTTGGAAAGTGTTCGATGCGGGACTACATTATGGATGAACCAAAAAGATTTAAGATAATAATAGCCCTCGAATGCCTTGGTATGGAGAGTTAGATCTCCCACGGCTACGCTCTCACAGACACTGTCAGGGAAGTCCTAATCATTGCAGTCTCAAGGCATCACTGTTGTTTGTGAAATTGAGAGGACGAAAAGCGAATGTCCAGCGCTTTAACCGGGTTGGTGGACACGGAAAACGCACCTAGGGGAGCTGTAAAACCCTCATTACGAACCACTGGTGTACATGGGCTCCAGTATCCTGAGGGAACAAATGGTGTATGAATCAATTGTTCGTCACCGCCTACCATGGGAATGCATCTCCTCATGATGCTCCACTGCCTTGTGAATTAGATCTTTAGTTCGAAGGACCCAGGTGTGACCCCCTAAGAAAACCATCTGCTTCAGTTTGGGCACCCGGGCAGTATCACAACCCTCACACAAATCAAATGAGATTTGTGTGTCGCATATATATCTGGTGCCTCCTTTGTTCCAATATTTATGTGTTTGAATAAATAAATAAAAGATAATGGTTGAATAGTTGAATAACATTTCGGGATTATAGCTGATATCAGTTCGTAATGAAAGCCATTAATGTAATTTAACTCTAAGTTCTAATTGTACCTCCTCACATTAATTTACAACACATTTTTGACCTTAGAGTGATGAGCTCTCTTACAAGGTCATTTCGTAATTTATGGACGACCTTTAAGCCATGTTATTCTCCCCTCATTCAACAATAATAGGCAAATACGTACTCACTTTTTTTTGAAAAATGAAGCAAAATTATATTACAAAAAACTGCGTAGCAAATAAAATTAAGTTTAGCAGTGGAATCCAGGACGCGCGTTTCGTCAACGGACTAGTTGATTGTAGGGTCAATCAATCACTTTTCCTTCAATCATCGACACAACGATCAGGAAAACTTTAAATTATATTGGTTCACTGAGATTCATTTATTTCACTGATTAGTCAGAACACCATATATTGGAGATTCAATTAGTTTTCCTAGTTTTATTTTTTAAATTCATCTTCGTGGATTGGTCGAAGTTAGATATTAACACCGTTGGATACCGACAGGCTCAGTGGTCTAGAGTTTAAGCGCTCGCGCACGAGACTGATAGGTCCTGGGTTCGTATCTCGTGAGGCGGGATCGTGGATGTGCACTGACACTGAGGAGTCTCACAATGGGACGAAACGGCCGTCCAGTGCTTCCAGGTTTTCTATGATGGTCTAGCTTCAATTGACTCATGATTTCAACTATATAAAATCATCTTCATTTACTATAACATAAGAATTCAAAGAGGAAGTTAAATGTACACACATTACCAAATATAAGAAGTTACTAGGTATAAATAACTAAGTTATAAGTGATATAAAATTGGAACAGGTAAACGTATATTATTGACATTTAACCACATAAGTAAAAGATTATGATTAGAAACTAAGATTAAATGTTAACTTCACTTAAAAATATAATACTAGTAATAAGTAAAATCGGCGGCCTATGGTTCATTGGAGTTAACAGGCGTAATTAAGTAATCAGTAAAATACCGAGCTAGGAATATATTATCTAATAAGGTATAAACTTAGTCTTCATGAAGTTGGTCTGAAGTGAAATACTTGGGTATGGATGAAAATACTTCAACATACAGTTACTTTGGAAATAAATAGCATACTATAAATATAGGTATACCAAGGATCTCAAAGTATATGTGCAAGTGTTTATATCCATACATCACTATTACATTTGAATGATATTTTCGGTCAAATCAATAAACATTTGAGTTTTATAGCTTACATTATAGATTGATTGTGAGTGGATAACCATGAGAAACTAGAAAGCATTGAACGATAGTATTGTTCGAGTATAGGACTCTTAAAATATGCCAGTTCACAACTTTACAAGGGTTCGAACCCAAAGCCTTCACATCTCAGTGAGTGATAAACCGTTAGACTGGTAAGGCATCATTCACTGGTTTACATGTCGAAATTCAATCAATTAGAGATGCTGCCTAACCATTTTCGAATGCATAATGATGGATAGCTGTC